TAACAACAATCGAATGTTGAATAGAACAGATAGGTGAAAGAATAATGACAGTTCACTTGGGTATCTTCATTCGTTTTGGCAAAGGCATTTTCTCTGTGTTGGCCGTTTGCTAAATAATCGATGACAAACCCCTTCCAACCGCGGTTTTGTAGTTAATAATTATATTTTTGAAATATTTAGGAGGAGGAGGAGATGTTCCTCCGCACCAATTTTTCGGTGGAAATTAAAATCGGAAAGTAATTATCGTTAATTTAGTATGGTCATAAGTGAAGGCGATCGAAATTATACAGCTGTTAATTATACCTTCTCGACAACAGATGGCCAGACGTCATAAAATATTAATTCCTCTTTTATGTACTGTATAACAAAAGAGTTTACCCATTCGGCGACATAAATATTGCATTTACTACCGATTTTATTATTCCAAGACAATGGATACCTGTCTACAACTTTGGTAAACTGCTTTTAAAATGTCCCCGATTAAAATTGAGTCTTCCAAAACTTGTAAATGCCAAAACGAATTCGTCATCGCGAACGGTACCATTATTATGATGGATAACGTCATCAATCGCGATTCGTTACGCGTCGTCGTCGATTGCGATTCAAGCGGAAACGTCATACTTAATTACGTCGTCGCATTCGATATCTAACGTATGTTTACGTAACAATCATTTTCGTTCGCCATTCTGAGTTACCATCTCGTTCGTAGAGAAAAAAATAAATTAAATAAATAAATAAATAAACTGCCACAGTAGTCCTTTATTTTAGTAACAATAACCTACATATAAAGATTTTTATTTTATTTACTTTTTCGTTTATCGTTTTCTAATCAAAAACAGTAAAGATGATTGATTTAACGCCATCCCTGTGTTTGAAACTTCCTGTTTCCTCCCCGTTTCGGTTCTTTTGTGTTGGAGTCGAGGGAACGAATATCTGGTTTTCTCATCATTCGATCGAAAATGCCCAAACCAAAAGGATTCAAAGAATCTCTCGCAAACCAGAGTTTGTCCTGCTTGTCAAAAGGTGTTTCCATTTGAAGATTATCTTCGGATTCGATGGCGATTTTTGGATGTTTGAAGCATTCGACTACGAGAAAGCTAGCAGCCATCATCACTGTTAAAAGCTTGCACATCGTTCTGAAGGGGGGAAAAAAATAATGTTTTGTTAGATGAGAGAATACATTTAACCAATTACACGAAGAATAACTTGACTTTTGAAATGCAATGAAAGTGCTTTAAACTGTTTGATTCCTTTGAAAACAAGTCTAATTTTCAGTAACTCGAATCGAAAATATTTATAAAATAAAATCTTAGAACGCTTTAAAACTGAAGATATGTTCGGATTTTATTTTTTAAATAGTGACAAAAATCTTAAAGAGTTCCATTACTTTCATCATCTTTTATTATAAATAATAACTTACAAAGCATTTTAATTAAATAGAACAATTAAAGGATTTGCGTTGAAAAATATAACTTTAAAATTAAATAAAACATAAACAATTTAAATCCTAGACTTTTCTAACGAAAACAAGATCTAAAAATATTCAATTTTATTACAAAAAATACAGTAATAAGAAAGTATAGTAAATTAAATTTCGTTATTATTTTATTTTATCGCCTTTAAACCGCTTTTTTAATTAAAATTTAGCTCTTTGTTTTCCGCGTAAAAAATTATCGCAATTAATTAAAGTAGATTAATATATGTCTATCTTGATTCTAATTTAAGTAAATCAATTATTATTTTTTCTGAAATAATCATAATTAAAATTTTTAAGAGATGATAAAATCACAATATGAAAAATTTCGAAAATTTTACAGTTAAAAGAAGTCTTTATGGGGATCCTCCGACTTCAGTATTTTTTCAAATTATTTTTTCTTTTTTTTTTCACTTCTCGAAAGAAGATAAAATTCAAATTTTATCTTGTTTCGAAAGCTGGTTCGAACAAAACGAAAGTGTAGAACTAAGAATAGAATAATCATTTCGAAACCAAAAATTTAATTTTATAGGGAAAAATCGTATAAGACACCAATGCAGATGTTTATAAAATATTGGCCAGTAGTTGACAATTCTCCGACGAACAATGCCTAAATCTGTTAGCTACTAGAAGAGAAATTTTTACATTGAAAACCAAATAGATTTTTGATATTCTGTATTCGTCAACAAACCAGAGTTTATTCATGAATCAGTAATAAGAAATGTTACTTTCTATTTGAAATTTCGTTCAAACATTCTTATATGATTGCCAAATAAACCACGAAAAAAAGAATTCGGTCGAAAGAAAACAACGGTAACGAGCAAGAATGGATAAGAATTCTAATATATGAGTTAGACTAAATGAATTATTTTCATATACAAGTGCTTTGTTATCATAGAAATCAACAATAAAAGTACTTTCTTGCGATCGAATTCGTCGTCATTAAACAAGAAACAGATAAAAACATCTTGTAAATGTGTATTTATGTACATAAAATAAGTCAAAACATGTAAGAATTATAGAATTAATAGATTTTTATAGTTTGAAATATAGTATACGGCGTATAACCCGCACAATTTATGAATATAAAAAAAAAAAATTCCGAATTTTCTTACAGCTGAACTAAAATCAATGTATCAGAGTCTACTTACCTGATATATTATTTCGGTTTATTCAAAAATAAAATCTGTATAACTTCCCAGAGTTTCCGGTTTTTATAGCTTTGGGGGTGATGTTGACGCCATTTTTGATCACGTCACTCTTTCGTGGACGAATGAGACAGGACAAATTTTTGATAATAAGCGTTATCTGATTATCAGAAGATGTTAAGTGGTTTTTTTTTTTTTTTTAAATGTCTAATTCGTTTTTGTTTTTACGAAATTTAAAAATAAACCGATATATTTATTAAAATTTTATCCTTTCAATAAGCTAACCTCTAGAGATAGATAATACTCTACTTAATTAAATTTTAAATAATAAATAAATCCATTAAATTTTCTTTTCTTTTTTTTTTCATAATATGTCGAATTTTTGGGGATTAGAAAAGAGGATTAAAGAGAAATTTTCCAAAAATATTAACTGTAAAAATTCGAAGCATTTCATTTGTATGAACCAACTCTTAAAATGTATTATGGTTTTTTTCATATTTGTTCTTCACTTAACAAATGTATAATTAACATTTTTTATTTAATTATTTAATGAAGAAATAGAATTAATTTCGAATTTTAAGGAGAAATTCCAATTAAACTTTTGAAAGGAATTATTTTCAAGAAGGGACATCCTATAAAATCTAATCTAAATGGAAAGTGGAGAGGGTGCTTAAAATGGCGCATTTTCGATTAAGTGCAGATAAAACAAACGTTTAACTCGTTGTTTTCTTTGAAATAACATTATATAAAAAAAGTATTTAATAATCAGAAAACCGTTTTAAAAGTAATTCAATTAAAATAATTTAGTTAAAATCACTCAAAAAGTTTAAGCGCAAACTTTTAATCGTCGTTCCTCCGGTAAAAATTTTGGCAGATTAACGATTACTGGGAACATTTTCTGTAAAAACAATTCTAAACAGTTTGGCATGGTTCCTGTAAACAGGCGAATCTGCCTAATTTCATGATGTTTAATTTAAACATTCGAAAAAAATGTTGTTTTGGTTTATTGACGATAACCATCCACAATGGATGAATAAATACATTCAACAAAATTCTTGAGGAAAAAATCATTTTTTTTTATTTATAAAATAAAATCTTAGAACGCTTTAAAACTGAAGATATGTTCGGATTTTATTTTTTAAATAGTGACAAAAATCTTAAAGAGTTCCATTACTTTCATCATCTTTTATTATAAATAATAACTTACAAAGCATTTTAATTAAATAGAACAATTAAAGGATTTGCGTTGAAAAATATAACTTTAAAATTAAATAAAACATAAACAATTTAAATCCTAGACTTTTCTAACGAAAACAAGATCTAAAAATATTCAATTTTATTACAAAAAATACAGTAATATAAAAGTATAGTAAATTAAATTTCGTTATTATTTTATTTTATCGCCTTTAAACCGCTTTTTTAATTAAAATTTAGCTCTTTGTTTTCCGCGTAAAAAATTATCGCAATTNAATTAAAATTTATATATTAATAAGATAAATAAATAAAAAGTTTTAAGTTTTATTTATTAATTTACGAAAGACGAAATTTGATAATTTACACGTGTACAGATTGTTTTTTTTTTTTTTATTTTAAAACTAATTTTTCTTTGCTTTTTAATTGCTTTTCTTTATTAAAAAATAACACAATAAGTAATTTACTCGACGATAAATTAAATATACAGTAATTACGTCAACAAAATATAATTTCTTTTACGTAACGCATTAAGATGGATTGGAGACGAGGAGAAGAAAAGACGACAATAAAATTCGAATTTTTGTTTGTTCTAAAGCTCTTAAAACTTTATATTACATTTATTTAACTTATTAAATTGATTTTCTCGACAAAAATTAATTTTAACGAAGAGGGAAAAGAGCAAAAAATATTCTCCTCCCGACTTCGATTTCTCTTAACGAATCTAATTTCGGAAATTAGCAAGTCGATACTTGTTTGAACTTGCTTAATTACTTTTTATTCCATTGGTTAATTTACCGAACAAACAAACAATTTTATCGTTAAGGCATTTTTAAGATCCGACACATCGCGTTAAAACGAATATAAAATTCCGTAATTCGTTGTCGACACGATATAACGACACACTAAGAATACTTTTTAACTTTTCTATTGTTCTGTATCCCCTCTTACTGAGCGATACCAGATTTTTATCCTTCTACATCTTACATAAACACGCTTTTAAAAGTATTAAACTCTTTAAAAAATTAACTAAAATATTCACTAAATCGATGTATAACGAAATTTTCTCCATTCTAATTTTATAAGTAACCTAATTATTTCGTAACGTTTTAGATCGATAGAATTTTTAGCTTCGGCGACAGGTTTTTAGATCTGTACTAAAAATAAAACAGTACACACGAGTAACCGATAGTTTTTTTAATATGTGAAAATTGGGTCGAACATCTCTCAGAATTCGTGACGTGTTTATTGTTTACGCAAAAGTAATGGAAAGACGATAACTTATAGATAAGTTTCGGTGCAAATTATCAGTCACACGCATCGACGAGTGTCTGTACGCGATACGTACCACACACACACACGTACAGTACAATACGCTCTCCCCTATTAAGTATTAAACAGTTTTGAAGGTCGAATCGAAACTCGTTTTCTACGTCTATGCTCCTTCCTGAAAATATATTTCTTAACCAAACGTGATTTAGATCGTACGAGACATGTCCCACTTCATCGGGGACAATGGACAAGGTAAGTCTAAAAACGCTAAATTGATATTTTCTAAGGACGCCATTTTTAATTCGAATACCCAAAAAAAAAACCTTCCCTTCAATTCTTAAGTCTCGTGTCTTTTGAGAATTTGATATATTATCGAAAGTTTATTTAAAAAGAAATCAAACGATTAAAAAAATGTATCTGTTGATAAAAAATGTTTTGAGTTAGTTTACGGTGCGTGTTGGTGTTAGAGGAAAATCGAAATTTGTCGTGTTTTTATAGAAATATTGTGTCAGCAAGGTTATAAAGTTTTCCTGTTCGTGTCGATATTTCGTTTAAGAAGTGTTTTAATTTCCTCACTCGCTATTTTTTTAGAAGGTCAATGTATAAGCTTATAAATCTTCTGGAAGTTTGAATATTTCGAGTGAGATAAGAAGAAAAAGTGTACACTTGTACCTTTATCTCTTACTTTAAAGAATACGTAATCCAGTTATAAAACTATTTTTATCGAACTCGGATCTTTTCTAATCGTTACTAAGGTTTCAAAGACCTTTTACCAGATAACGCAACACAGTTATTGTTATCTGCAACTAACAAAACAAGTTTTAGCGATAAATAATCAATAAAAATAAATTTTATTTATTTAATTTTTTGATGTATTTTTAGCCCGTTTCTATGCATTTTAATTGATAATTTTAAGTATTGTAAAATATCGAAAACGACGCGACAATCGCCATTCAAATGGTATCCAGTCGAAGGTTATGAATCACTTTTCATCTATTGTTTATGGTTAATCTTCTAGATAATATCATAATTTTTTAGACTCTATTGTTCTCGGATAAGAACTGGATATATTAATAATATAATTAGCAAACTATACAGTACACTTAAACAAAATTCGAAGTTTTAAGTCATTTGGCGTTGGGATTTTGTAATCTTCCAAATGCGATTTAAAAAAAAATAACTAAAATAATTAAATATATTAAAATAAACAAGTAAAACGCCCGTGCGATTGATAGTATAGAGGAAGAAGCAGAAATGTTTACAGTACTTTACCTCCGTCACGTGTTTTTCTACAAGAACATTATTGGTCGAAGTCGATTAATCTCAACTATTGATAACAGAAATCCCGAATTGCTATAGATTATATTCAGTGACCGACTCGAAATCAAAAAATGTAGCTTTAGTTATTGTCTAAAAAGTTTCTGTATAAGAAAATGAAACGTTGCAGAAGAAAATCTCAAGGTTTGATATATTTTCTATATTATAAATATAATTTTTTACACGTAAACACGTGGTTTATTTCGAATAGTTTTTTTTAACAATACCTTCAGCTAAATTATTCTATAGATGAATAAATTACAGCTGAAGTTTAATATACTTTAATTATAATTTATAGTCCTTATATATATTATTTTTATAAATTAATTATGAATAATTACTTCACATTCGTCTTTAATTCGTTTAACTAGATTAATCAATGGAATGTTTATTTTGGAGTAGGTTTAAATTCCAAGTTGAATAAGCGATAAAGTCGATTAAAATATGAAAAAATTGATTTTTTTTTAAAATAAACTTTTATGTAAAAACTTGTATTGATGTTTAACGCCAAGGAAAAATTGATACGTTGCAATGTTGGAGTTGCCTGAGATAAAAACAACATCCGGATTGTCATTCATCAAACAAGAGCTACTTGTAATCCAAGTGCAACAACTGTTAAAAAACATTAATAGAGAAGAATTAACGACACAAATTATATTTATTTTTCTTTTTTATTTATTTTTCCCTATCCTTACATAACATTATGCAGACTTCTTCCTCTTTAAAGACCATTTCTATACTTTAATTATCTTTCTTTTGCTATTTATAAAATTTGATACGATAGAAACGTAAAAGATGTTTGCTATTTTATATGGAAAAAAGAAAAAAAGCAATTGTTTTCTAAGTAGAAGAAGACCTTGAAATGATTTCTCAACACCAATTTATGGAGCTAAACTGTAAACTTTTATTCTGTATCAGAACTTTTTGGAATTAATTTTGAACATGTCTTTGTTTTGTTTTGTAAATTAGGAACGTTTTAAACTTTTTTTTAAAATATATTATAGGAAATTTTTAGGTTTAAATTTTATATAAACTTGAAAATAACTTTAATTACAATTATAATAAATTTCGTATGAATTTTGTCTGAAACTATTGTTATTTTTCAGTATTATAGATTATAATTTAAGTGTTTTTTTTTTCTATATTTTCACACTCTTCCATATAAAAATTCAATTTAAAAAATGTTTAACAAGTTTTAAAAGCTATTTATACGACATTTTAAACATTAAACGAATGCTTACTAACGAAATGAAATTCATACAAAATCTTTTATATATTTTATTTAGATATCATCAATATTTTGGTCAGATGTCGAGACGTTTTTGTCGACAGAATTGCTTCTTTATGGATATGGATATGTGAATCTTTCAATTTATTCGCTCTCTACACATCACGAGATCTGTGGGACAAGTTCCATCTCTGGTTGTGCTACATCAAAAGCAGTAAGTGTAACTGTAAATACAGTAATATCCGAAATCCTCCAACGTCTATAATTTGTATTATTCCGTGACAGGATTAATTCTAGATCGCAGAGAGAAACAGAAGTTGTTAGAATGGGTCAAAGACAATGTAGCCTCCAATAGAAGACCTTCGAATACATTCAGGAGATTTTCGGAATGTTTCTACGAGAATCCTGCCGATTTTTCCAACTTTTGGAGAGATGGCATCTTGTTGTGTGCTTTAGTGGAGGCGTTGGTACCAGGTTCGTGTCCTCGTTACGATCTCCTTAATCCCGAACATAAGTGGGACAATGCTAGATTGGCGTTGAAACTTGTGGAAAAGAAAATTGGCATTAAACCGGTAAGAAAGTCAAATTTTAGATATAAATTATTATATTTTGGGCACTTTTCAGTTGTGATTTACAATAGCGTTGACATATTTTAATTTTAGTGAGTGTTGTTTTAATCGTTTATAATTAAGGACACAAAATAAAGGTGGAATTTAGGCTAACTCCCGCTCTGTTAGAGAAGCAATAATGATGTAACAGACATTTCAGTAAATCTATGTTTTTACAAATAAATTTCCCTTAAAAACTTATTTAAAAATAAGATAGTTTAATATTTTCGTATTATTTAAATCGATTTACTATAAATTTTAGGAAGTAACAACGGAAGAGATCATAAAGTGCAATCCGAAGAACGAGAAGAAAGTGGCATGTTTGTTGGCACAAATCAAAGTTGCTTCCAGCAAATTGAAAGTGAGACCTACCATCAATCGTCCAGACGAAGAAGACGATGACAACGTAGTCTTTGATATTGAACAAGAGTGTTTAGCTAGAGGCATGGGATTATCTGTTGCAGTCATAGGAAGGCAAGCGAGATTCAACATTTTCTTAAAATCCATTTCTAACTTGAACATAGTTATCGAGATCAAAGGCAAAACTGGAAGTTTATGTAGCGAGAGAATAACCAACAGATCACCGAAACGGAAAAATTCTGTAGAATTAGAGAAGATCGAGAGGAGAAAAAATTTACAGAGACATATCAGAAATATACCTTTCGAGTACGAAGTGTTACCTGGAAAAATAATAGTGGGTTATACGCCCGTCGAAACTGGGCAACACAGACTCAGCATCATATGGCAAGGACAGCACATCATGGGAAGTCCTTATACAGTAAACGTAGACGATACTCTTCGTCACGACAATAGCGAAAGCTCAAAGAAATCAAAAACATTTCTTCGAGTTGAGAACTCTTACAGAAATGATACAAAACCAAAAGAATCGAGCCAAGGTGATGTAGAGAAAATCCTCAAATCAAAATTGGGTTCGGTGACTAAGAAACGAGTCTTACGCCATATTATGGTTGTGAATGGCAAAGAAGTAGTGGTAGAAGCTGATTCTAATGATGTGGTATCTGTTCTTGGAAAACTGACCAAGGAAACTGCTACAGATAACGAAAACAGCGAAAATACCACAAACAAATTAACTCAGGAGTGTAGTTCAAAAGGTAGCGAATTTATGGCTCACTATCCATCTCCGTCAAAAAACAAGATGGTGAGCACTCCTCCGAGTTTAACAACAGTTCTCGAAGGTATCGATCAAACAGATTCGGATCTATTATTGCATAATCTCAAGTCCAGAAAATCTTCTAAACCCTTAAATAGTCCAAGTTTAGATAAGAAGGAACGCAATTTACTAGATTCTAGTATATCAAAAAACGAAAATATTCTAAAAATAGACGAAGACTTGACTACATTAGAAAAAGAGGAGGAAACAACGCTTCAAGAAGATGGAATCCATCATCTCGATGATGACAATTCTCAGATAAACACAGACTTATTTTTGAATTGTTTGTCTGAAGTTAGTTCAAGAATCTCTACGCTTTCCGATGGAGTTAACTCTGATCATGAATCTGATTCTAAAATGGATCTGATTAAATTTGATGCTTCACCATTAAAAATAGAAAATTCGCGTGAACATATATCGGAAATTTTTGAAGAACAATCGAAAAAGTTACAAGAAAGTTATAAAGCATCACCAAAAACAAATTCCAAGTTTATTGAAGATGAAAATTTTGAAAGAACGGAAGAAAAACTGCATGTAGAGGGAGAGGATAATAAATTATTTATTAAGAATTTAGACGAAAATCGGACTCAAAACGAAGAAGTAATCGTGAATCGTGAAGTTCAACAATGTCAGAAAGAAGGTGAAGAAGAAAATGAATTTTACTGCTTACCTATTATAAATGAATGTAAAGAGAACACTTTTTTAGAAAAACACAATTCTAAAGTTTCTACCATCGATTTTCAGAATGATTTCCGTACAGAAGAGAACACGACAAAATTTGTTTCTGTAAATCCTTCGACGACAATAAGAGATTGTGTAGAAAACGACCCGCATCCGATTCGAAAGATAAACTATCAGAAATTGTTCAAGTCGACGAAACTCGAAGGAAGTTTGGTCAAAAATAAAGTTCAAGAATGGGAACGTGCCATGAATAAGGCATCAAACAACGAAACTAAAGAAATTCTCGTAGAAGAAATGACTAGACCTGACTCCCCAATTTTGGTGTCCGTTCGCACTAGGAAACAGTTTTGGGAAAATGGTGGTCACATTTCGGAAGTAGATCACACTCCCGGAACCGATTGTGACGTAGAGGACAGAGACGTCATCCGGAGAATTCCAGGTACGACGTCGTCCGTTTATTACGAATAGAACGAATATCTGTTGTTCCCGTCCTTTTGTGCCATTGTAACTCTTTTTCTTTTTGTGTTTGGCGTCGAGTCTTTCCTCTGCTCTTTCTGTGTGTGTTTACGGATATCGTATTCAAATTTTCAAAAATTTTCTGCAGATCGTTCGGCTTCTGTCGGCGCCATTTATCCCTTTCGTCTAAGCAAGATTAGTTTAGATAAATCCACACAAGTCGACTTCGAAGACTTCACAAAGACCAATGTTCTCGGAAGAAAAAATGGTTCGGTCAATGAAACTCCAGATTCCGAAGACAGTGGCATTTGCGAATTTCACCGTTCTGTAAGAGCAAATCATCAGAAATATAGTCCTTCAGCATGTCGTCATCGTCATTTCAATTGCAATCGCAATCACTTGTCACCAAAACAAGAATCGATTTGTAGCGATCTAACAGATGCAACATCGATCAACACAGATTGCGATCGAGGATTCATAGACGATGAAATTCCCGATTATGCAAACCTCTTGTTAGATAATTACGTGTCTTTTACTGGTCTTTTGGATACAGAAAGACCAATATCAAGGCGAGAATTATTAAAACACGACTTTTATGACGTCGAGGAGGAATTTCTGAAAGAACCGTCAACTCCAAGAGCGGAGAGATGTCGTATATTTGGTACGGGAGTTTATTATGGTCAAGTATGTCTGAGGAATCATTTCCAGGTAAGTGTTATTATTATACCTCTATCACACTGATATTAATATATACTGTGATCGAGGTATAACGCGAATTTAAATGTATTTTATAGGTAAGAACCAAGGGAGCAGGACCAGGGTATCTGACCGTTAACATTCAGGGCGCGGGAAAACACGACGTGACGGAAGTCACAATCATCTATAGTGGAAACGAACTGTACGACATTTTATACGAAGTGTCCCAACCAGGATATTACATCATCTCGATAAAATGGGGCGATTTGAATATACCAGAAAGCCCATACATATGTAAAATTACTTATTAACTGTTTGTACGAGAAAATAATCATTTTTACCGTTGGAAAAATTAGACCAATCAAAACTTGGAAACTTGTTTTAGTTTCTAACATATTTTATGTGGAACATTTTAAGATCGATCATATTTATTTTTATTATTACTTAAAAGAAAAATGTCATGAGCAAAATAACGCGAGACAAAATGGAATATAAATATTTTTGTGCCAAAGTTTAAAAAGTAATAAAAATATTTTATTTACTTATTAAAACTTAAATAATCACGTTCACGTAGACCTTGGAGCATTTACAGATCTAAAAATAAATCTGTAGGAACAGTATGCATAATTTTAGGTTATATTAAATATTTTTACTAAGCCACTAGAACATGTTTTCAAAGAATGTAGATTTTGACGCTAACTCCAAATATATTTCGATNTATGAATTTTGTCTGAAACTATTGTTATTTTTCAGTATTATAGATTATAATTTAAGTGTTTTTTTTTTCTATATTTTCACACTCTTCCATATAAAAATTCAATTTAAAAAATGTTTAACAAGTTTTAAAAGCTATTTATACGACATTTTAAACATTAAACGAATGCTTACTAACGAAATGAAATTCATACAAAATCTTTTATATATTTTATTTAGATATCATCAATATTTTGGTCAGATGTCGAGACGTTTTTGTCGACAGAATTGCTTCTTTATGGATATGGATATGTGAATCTTTCAATTTATTCGCTCTCTACACATCACGAGATCTGTGGGACAAGTTCCATCTCTGGTTGTGCTACATCAAAAGCAGTAAGTGTAACTGTAAATACAGTAATATCCGAAATCCTCCAACGTCTATAATTTGTATTATTCCGTGACAGGATTAATTCTAGATCGCAGAGAGAAACAGAAGTTGTTAGAATGGGTCAAAGACAATGTAGCCTCCAATAGAAGACCTTCGAATACATTCAGGAGATTTTCGGAATGTTTCTACGAGAATCCTGCCGATTTTTCCAACTTTTGGAGAGATGGCATCTTGTTGTGTGCTTTAGTGGAGGCGTTGGTACCAGGTTCGTGTCCTCGTTACGATCTCCTTAATCCCGAACATAAGTGGGACAATGCTAGATTGGCGTTGAAACTTGTGGAAAAGAAAATTGGCATTAAACCGGTAAGAAAGTCAAATTTTAGATATAAATTATTATATTTTGGGCACTTTTCAGTTGTGATTTACAATAGCGTTGACATATTTTAATTTTAGTGAGTGTTGTTTTAATCGTTTATAATTAAGGACACAAAATAAAGGTGGAATTTAGGCTAACTCCCGCTCTGTTAGAGAAGCAATAATGATGTAACAGACATTTCAGTAAATCTATGTTTTTACAAATAAATTTCCCTTAAAAACTTATTTAAAAATAAGATAGTTTAATATTTTCGTATTATTTAAATCGATTTACTATAAATTTTAGGAAGTAACAACGGAAGAGATCATAAAGTGCAATCCGAAGAACGAGAAGAAAGTGGCATGTTTGTTGGCACAAATCAAAGTTGCTTCCAGCAAATTGAAAGTGAGACCTACCATCAATCGTCCAGACGAAGAAGACGATGACAACGTAGTCTTTGATATTGAACAAGAGTGTTTAGCTAGAGGCATGGGATTATCTGTTGCAGTCATAGGAAGGCAAGCGAGATTCAACATTTTCTTAAAATCCATTTCTAACTTGAACATAGTTATCGAGATCAAAGGCAAAACTGGAAGTTTATGTAGCGAGAGAATAACCAACAGATCACCGAAACGGAAAAATTCTGTAGAATTAGAGAAGATCGAGAGGAGAAAAAATTTACAGAGACATATCAGAAATATACCTTTCGAGTACGAAGTGTTACCTGGAAAAATAATAGTGGGTTATACGCCCGTCGAAACTGGGCAACACAGACTCAGCATCATATGGCAAGGACAGCACATCATGGGAAGTCCTTATACAGTAAACGTAGACGATACTCTTCGTCACGACAATAGCGAAAGCTCAAAGAAATCAAAAACATTTCTTCGAGTTGAGAACTCTTACAGAAATGATACAAAACCAAAAGAATCGAGCCAAGGTGATGTAGAGAAAATCCTCAAATCAAAATTGGGTTCGGTGACTAAGAAACGAGTCTTACGCCATATTATGGTTGTGAATGGCAAAGAAGTAGTGGTAGAAGCTGATTCTAATGATGTGGTATCTGTTCTTGGAAAACTGACCAAGGAAACTGCTACAGATAACGAAAACAGCGAAAATACCACAAACAAATTAACTCAGGAGTGTAGTTCAAAAGGTAGCGAATTTATGGCTCACTATCCATCTCCGTCAAAAAACAAGATGGTGAGCACTCCTCCGAGTTTAACAACAGTTCTCGAAGGTATCGATCAAACAGATTCGGATCTATTATTGCATAATCTCAAGTCCAGAAAATCTTCTAAACCCTTAAATAGTCCAAGTTTAGATAAGAAGGAACGCAATTTACTAGATTCTAGTATATCAAAAAACGAAAATATTCTAAAAATAGACGAAGACTTGACTACATTAGAAAAAGAGGAGGAAACAACGCTTCAAGAAGATGGAATCCATCATCTCGATGATGACAATTCTCAGATAAACACAGACTTATTTTTGAATTGTTTGTCTGAAGTTAGTTCAAGAATCTCTACGCTTTCCGATGGAGTTAACTCTGATCATGAATCTGATTCTAAAATGGATCTGATTAAATTTGATGCTTCACCATTAAAAATAGAAAATTCGCGTGAACATATATCGGAAATTTTTGAAGAACAATCGAAAAAGTTACAAGAAAGTTATAAAGCATCACCAAAAACAAATTCCAAGTTTATTGAAGATGAAAATTTTGAAAGAACGGAAGAAAAACTGCATGTAGAGGGAGAGGATAATAAATTATTTATTAAGAATTTAGACGAAAATCGGACTCAAAACGAAGAAGTAATCGTGAATCGTGAAGTTCAACAATGTCAGAAAGAAGGTGAAGAAGAAAATGAATTTTACTGCTTACCTATTATAAATGAATGTAAAGAGAACACTTTTTTAGAAAAACACAATTCTAAAGTTTCTACCATCGATTTTCAGAATGATTTCCGTACAGAAGAGAACACGACAAAATTTGTTTCTGTAAATCCTTCGACGACAATAAGAGATTGTGTAGAAAACGACCCGCATCCGATTCGAAAGATAAACTATCAGAAATTGTTCAAGTCGACGAAACTCGAAGGAAGTTTGGTCAAAAATAAAGTTCAAGAATGGGAACGTGCCATGAATAAGGCATCAAACAACGAAACTAAAGAAATTCTCGTAGAAGAAATGACTAGACCTGACTCCCCAATTTTGGTGTCCGTTCGCACTAGGAAACAGTTTTGGGAAAATGGTGGTCACATTTCGGAAGTAGATCACACTCCCGGAACCGATTGTGACGTAGAGGACAGAGACGTCATCCGGAGAATTCCAGGTACGACGTCGTCCGTTTATTACGAATAGAACGAATATCTGTTGTTCCCGTCCTTTTGTGCCATTGTAACTCTTTTTCTTTTTGTGTTTGGCGTCGAGTCTTTCCTCTGCTCTTTCTGTGTGTGTTTACGGATATCGTATTCAAATTTTCAAAAATTTTCTGCAGATCGTTCGGCTTCTGTCGGCGCCATTTATCCCTTTCGTCTAAGCAAGATTAGTTTAGATAAATCCACACAAGTCGACTTCGAAGACTTCACAAAGACCAATGTTCTCGGAAGAAAAAATGGTTCGGTCAATGAAACTCCAGATTCCGAAGACAGTGGCATTTGCGAATTTCACCGTTCTGTAAGAGCAAATCATCAGAAATATAGTCCTTCAGCATGTCGTCATCGTCATTTCAATTGCAATCGCAATCACTTGTCACCAAAACAAGAATCGATTTGTAGCGATCTAACAGATGCAACATCGATCAACACAGATTGCGATCGAGGATTCATAGACGATGAAATTCCCGATTATGCAAACCTCTTGTTAGATAATTACGTGTCTTTTACTGGTCTTTTGGATACAGAAAGACCAATATCAAGGCGAGAATTATTAAAACACGACTTTTATGACGTCGAGGAGGAATTTCTGAAAGAACCGTCAACTCCAAGAGCGGAGAGATGTCGTATATTTGGTACGGGAGTTTATTATGGTCAAGTATGTCTGAGGAATCATTTCCAGGTAAGTGTTATTATTATACCTCTATCACACTGATATTAATATATACTGTGATCGAGGTATAACGCGAATTTAAATGTATTTTATAGGTAAGAACCAAGGGAGCAGGACCAGGGTATCTGACCGTTAACATTCAGGGCGCGGGAAAACACGACGTGACGGAAGTCACAATCATCTATAGTGGAAACGAACTGTACGACATTTTATACGAAGTGTCCCAACCAGGATATTACATCATCTCGATAAAATGGGGCGATTTGAATATACCAGAAAGCCCATACATATGTAAAATTACTTATTAACTGTTTGTACGAGAAAATAATCATTTTTACCGTTGGAAAAATTAGACCAATCAAAACTTGGAAACTTGTTTTAGTTTCTAACATATTTTATGTGGAACATTTTAAGATCGATCATATTTATTTTTATTATTACTTAAAAGAAAAATGTCATGAGCAAAATAACGCGAGACAAAATGGAATATAAATATTTTTGTGCCAAAGTTTAAAAAGTAATAAAAATATTTTATTTACTTATTAAAACTTAAATAATCACGTTCACGTAGACCTTGGAGCATTTACAGATCTAAAAATAAATCTGTAGGAACAGTATGCATAATTTTAGGTTATATTAAATATTTTTACTAAGCCATTAGAACATGTTTTCAAATGTCAAATGTTTTCAAAGAATGTAGATTTTGACGCTAACTCCAAATATATTTCGATTATTATTATATTATTTAAATTTACAAACATTTCACTCCTTCAATCTATATAAATTTTATAAAATATATTGGCCTATACCGTATATGAAAAATCGCACATATTTTGATGCTGCAACTTTATATTTTGGACTAATTAAAACAATAATAATTGTAAGAATTTTTTATTATTTAAGTAATTATTTCGCAATATTACTTAAAAAGAAAAAGAAAAAATGAAATAAAAACTATAGAAATGGATCCTTCAGAGAAAATTTCAATCAAAAGTAAGTTCGAAGATACGATGTTGATTGCTAAAATTAGTGAAAAGATTCGATATATAGA